TGCATCCTATACTTCTTCACATCTACTGTATCATTCCTGATACAGCAGATACAGCTGATGATTGCCTGTCATATACCTCCTGTGGCCAGGGGTGCAGACATAGCCTGTGAACTTCCCCAGTGTCTGAAAGGCAGATTAAGAGCAGCACTTTTGGGAGTCCTCCCTCTTCAGTAAGGGTGGCCAGTGTGCCCATGTCAGAGTCCCACTGGCTCCTTCAGGAAAAGGTGCCTCTCACCTTCCCCAAGCAGAACAAATAGGAGGTCTTTGGTCTCATTTATCAAGTCACTGAATAATAATTAATAGTGCTGTTGTTATAATTAGGAGGACAAAACTAGGAAAAGACAACAAAGGAGTTCTGCTGATTAATTCTAGAAGTTGTGGGTTTGAAGTTTTACCACAAATCATGTGCCAAGTGTAAGGCACATGAGAGGTTTATACCTTATCTCTTTTCTTACTGGCTAACTCTTACTGTGTCAGCCTCAGCATATGAGAGCTTATCTAGTCAATGTATAGTACAAGGCATTTCTTTTGCAAACAAGTTAAAAACTCACCCTTGCTTCACTAAACTGGTTTTGACCCTTCCTGGAAGACACTGAGTCTCTATCACCTTCAGGAGACCAAAATGACAATCACAGGTACTATTAGGTAGACAATTAGGTAGCAAGTACACATCCTACAACACTGACTAGCCAAGTTCTCTTGAGCCAAATTTACCCAGCTAAATTTCATCTAACATTTCCCCTCCAGGACATGAAAACGCTCAGATAAACAAAACAAAAATCATCATCAAGAAGGGACTACCTCTGAAAATATATAACCTATGTTGCATTCAGGGAGGGACAAATACTTATATCAGCACAAAAAACAAACTAACATAAAATCCCCAACCAGGCATCATCCATTTTAGAGGAAAGTGGTTAGGAAAAACAACTCTCTAAACACCGTCAAATGGAAAGGGAAAGCAAAAGGAAAAAGAAGGTTTTTTTTTTTCATTACTGTGTTCAACCACATTAAAGGACTTAAAAATATGTTATCATGCTGCATTATATAGCAAAACATATTACCTAAGAATTAAGGTCTTTACTATGTAAATAGTTCAGTTCTTCAAGCACTGAGGTATAGTACAGGAACAAGATCTGGGAATTAATACCTTTGTCTGGTAGATTTCTGCAGGTGCCCTAAATCAAACTAGCACTGCAAATATACAGTTTTTATTTATTTATATTGTTTGCTTATATATCTCTAACCTTGCAAAGTCCCATTCTTATGCAATGTTGTCATAACTCCTTCTAGAGTCCTTCGAGTCCAAATCCGCAGGAGCCCCCCACCTCATCTAAATGGACTCATTTATAGAGGAGCCATGATGCAGCGCTACCAATACCTACCTATAACTTTCTGAAAATCTCAGCTTTGCTCTTCCTAAAAGTACTCCCTGTCTCCGTCTCTATTGTTATGTGGAAAAGACTAAATGTGACCAGCATAACACAAAATCTCTAAAAGCAAACTATGCAAAGCCCAAGGAATACGTAGCTTTAGAACCTCATTATTGTTAAACCAGTGTCACCCACTGTCACCAGTACTGATATCATAAGCCAGAATTGCCTTGAGTTTTTCTGCCTGAGATTCTTAATTCTTCCCTTTAGTGTCACCATGCTACTCAGTGTCTCAGATGCTACTTTTCTTTTGCAAGATACACTATTAGTGTCTGAGTGGCACACCATCAAAATCATGTCGTTGGTGTTGCTCTGGGTCTGTTCAGGCCTTGGGACAAATATGCTGTACATAAAGTGCATCTCTCTGAAGCATGCAAGAGAGAAATCTTGGAGGTTGTAACACCTTATGCCAATGTTAACGTCTTACAACCATCAAAGAGTCTCCAGCTCCCCTTCATGCAGTGCTCTAGGAAGCGTTTTGCAGAGCATTACACCTACCATTCATCAGCAATAAAAACTGGAGCCTGCCTAAAAGGGAAGGTAAGTGAGTCCAGGTTTTCTCCTCTGTACAGTACTGTTACCTAAAGCCTTTTTTGCAGTATCCTTGGCCCATTGGCTCACAGGACTGAAACCTATCAAGAACAATGAAAAGTTTAGAGAACCGCTTACTGTTAGTGAAGAAAGCTGAGAACCCAGGTTATTTTACCCCAAGGAGTCTGGATTTATTTTTCTTACTGTAAGCGCAAATCCAGCCCTCCCTCTCTGCACGTCAGAGCAGTCGTTTTGAAGGAAGGACTGAGGTATATGTCAGAACTATGTGCAGGATGCTCTAGGCATCTGGGTGGAAACGAAAGAGCAATCCCACTGAAGTGGGAGCCTGCAGACATGGAAGGGGAGGAGGCTGACAGTTCGTGCCCCCCACCCCCAGGCCACTGCTGCTGACCCCGCAGGAGCCAGGCCTCTGGGGCTGTGCGTTGCCTTACCCTAGAGGTAGGCTCCATTCTCCAGGGCAGATGAATGGTATGTGTGGCATCGCCAGCACAGGGCATGCTGGGGCACCACATGGAGGGAAGCTGGCAACTGCATGTAGCTGCTCTTGAAGAACCTGGAAATAAGGGGGAAAAATACAGACTAAAACAACAAAATGCGTGGAAACGGGCTTCTCCTCTGTTTGCACTGGGGTACTTAGCACTCACCCACGCCTAGGACAAATTAGCTACTGTCTCACTGTATTAATAAACCCCTTCGACAGGCATACTTTAAGTTCTCCCTTCCCTCACCAAAAAGTTTTAAAAATCCAAAACCAGTCAGATGCTCCAGGTTTGTAGAGTCGGGATTAAAATTAGACTCAAGCACACAGAAGAAACTGTCCTTTCAACTTCTCCTGGGGATGAAAGTGGCAAAGTCTCAACCTAAACAAAATATTAACATTTCATTATTCCTTCCTAATTGTCTAGTTTATGATTAAAGAAAGCTCAGTGCTTCCAGGGTACTTTACAAACAGCAGGTCCTTTGAGTGGCATGCAGTGCAAAAGAAACCCTGAAGTTAACTCTAAAGCCAAGATTTCCCAGAACAGGTATTTAGCAGCTGGATCCGAAAGCCTACAGTCACGCATCTAAACCAGCGTCCTCATTGTCTGTGTAACCCAGGGAGCTCCTGGCCACATGAGACCACAGGGTGCCTGCCTGGGAGGGTTAACTGGGGCCACTGAGTTAATGAGGATGTGGATTCAGAGCCGAACTTTACGGTTCTCTCGCAACATTTTTCGGGCAGGAGGAGGAAGGGCAGGCTGCGGCTCCGGCTGCAAGGCGTGTGA